AGATTAATGAATCATGTTATTATCTGAACATTCTCCACGTGTTAGAGAAATTGAGCTGAGGCTTCTATTAAAGATCATATTTAGGCTACGTGCCAATATTTTTAGACCCATGGGGTTGTGTTGTTGTTGAATTAATTGTTCAAAAATATATATTTCACACTCAGTAATAATTCTCCATTGTGAGGATATTTATGGGATTGAGTTGTGCGACGCAGCAGGCCATAATGGCTTTATACGTTATTATTATATGGATCGGGGCTGCCCGCCTGTAGCAGGCCTTATAGGCTTCACTATTTCATGGATCGGGGTTGCTCACTTGTAGCAGGCCTTATAGGCTTTGTTATTATACGGATCGGGACTGCCCGCCTGCAGTAGGCCATATTGGCTTTGTATTATGTTTGGGCTGAAGGATCCCCTCCGGAGTCTGTACATACCCCCAGTTAGGGTAGATAATCATATATATTCGGGATGGACTTCTCAGGGCATGGACTTGCCTTACTTACTGCTTATATATATATATATATATATATATGGGATGGATTTTCCCAGGGCATGGACTTGCCTTACTTATTTGTATTGTAACGAGTTTATCAAGACATGGATCTTGTCCGTATCATTTATATTTAGGGATAAATTATTCTAGGGATGGATTAGCCTTATACGGTACTGGGTGACTGACTGTTAGTCGATGTGTACTTATATACGGGTTGGAACACCCTGGGCTGGATTGGCCATAAACAGTACCGAGTGACCGGATAATTTGTGACCAGTATTTACATGAGATCTTTCTACTGAGATGTCATATTCCTCATATCATGCAGTATTGATCTATTTCACTTGTACTGAGTTTAATTGTTAAATTTGAAAGTATGCCTACATCTTGTACCATTATTTATACTGGATTGTACCTGCGGAGCTCGTCATTGCTTTCAGCCGAAAGGTTAGTCTTGTTACTTATTGAGTTAGTTGTACTCATACTACACTCTGCACCTCGTGTGCAGATCCAGGTGCTCCGGGATACGACGACTGCTAGAATTCGGATTTATTTCTAATGGAGACTATCAAGGTAGCTGCTTGACGACCGCAGACTTGATTCCCTTCCTGTTTAGTTATTGTACTGTTCTATATTTCAGACAGTGATTTTTATCAGTCATATTTTGTATTCATTTAGATGCTCATGTACTCAGTGACACCCGGTTTTGGGAGTGTTATATTTGAAATTGTGAGATTTCTTCCGCTGAATTTAATTATTTTATTTTCAAATTTAAAAGAAATAGTGGTTTATTGAGATTTTCGGCTTGCCTAATATTGAGATAGGCGCCATCACGACAGGTGAGATTTTGGGTCGTAACAACTTTAGATAGCATGCCTATAGGATACGATAATACATGCCTTCACTAATTTAGATATCATGACTATAAGGTTTTAATAATTGATCAGCTACTTTCTGTTACTTTTATACTGCCTCACTTAGATGACATGCATATAGGGATAAAGTGTTATAAAACCAAGTCTAATTGTCATCCTGCCTATAGGATGTTATCATTTGCATAAGAAACTGTTCCTCAACGCTGTTAATCTTGTGTTTTCAAGCGACTTCACTGCCTTATTATGCAACTATTAGAAATCCTGCCTATAGGACACTGTCATATGCCTAAGAAGCATGTCCATTAAATCAGCACTGGTAATTGGGAGTTCTGGGATCGTTTCACTACCTTATTACAAAAATAATTAGAAATCATGCCTATAGGTTTTGCAACGCTTTAATCTGCCTAGACGTTAGTCCAGAAGCTGCAGTACTGCCTGTTTTATGTATAATATTGGAAATCGGAATCATATAGAAATCATGCTAATAGGACCTAATGATTCTAATGCGTCTAAAAATTATCCACTGCATAACCTGAAATCTGTTTGCGTGCCTTTGTTGTTATGTGTAGAGGCTAACATGAGCCACTCATTGCTATTATGTGCAGTCCTATTTGTTTTGAATGTGCGATTAGTTTTACCATTTTTAGCAACCTAAGTAAAGTCTAGAACCACTTAATTGTAGGTCCAAAGCCTTCTGGACCACATGCATGGGACAGGTAGTGCACGCATAGGATACGGTTTAGAATTGAATTAGAGCGCCTTTAAGTAACAACTTCGACATAGTAATTGGGTAGCAGGAGATGATAGTCTGTGCACGCTGAATAATATGAGCAACCCCTACCTCCAGAGAGTTGCGAAGTATTATTTATGTTGCACGGGGTGATTCTTTAGGCTAAAAAACTTAGGACCCCCTTTCTGTATAGGCTTGTTGTTCGCATTTAGTCATCAGTCATAGATCAACGCAATTGTACTCCTTGTGATTTTTTAAAGACTTGTATCAATTAGTCATATAATTCATTCTTATGTTATAATAGAGCTTTCAACTTCTACATATTTATTTGCTTATTTGACCCCCTAGTTTAATTATCTAATCCACATAGTTTTAACTTCAGCCGGGAACCACAGCTGTGGACCTCGAAGAGTGCCTAACACCTTCTCTTTGAGGTAATTTGAGCCCTTACCCGTTCTTTGGTGGCGTTGATTAGTCAAACGAAGTTATTTGTAAATAGGTTCCCTAACGCACCTTAAATATTATTAGGTGGTGACTCTTATCTTTTAATACCTATTTAAAAGAGTTGTCACACGTCGAAACCCGCTTTTGCGAGAAAACATGGCGCGACATACATAACTGCAATTAAGCAAATAAATCAACAACAAGAACGACCACTGTGGGTCCCAATAGCACCAACACATAGCCTAAATATGATTTCTAACATAATTCACATCTCAAGTACTCTAACACATAAGGTACAGTAATAGTATTTAGATAAGATAGCTACACAGTTCCACGGAATTGACTGAATTATAATTACTATGGTGCACGACCACACACCCGTCACCTAGCATGCACGTCACCTCAACACTAATCACATAACACGTAATTTTAGGGATTCATATTCTCAGAACCAAGTTTAGAAGTGTTACTTACCTCAAATCGTACAAATCTCTACTCCGACAAGCCCTTGCCTCGTGAATCGGCCTCCGAATGCCTTGACTCTAGCCACAAACAGTTTGGTACAAACAACGTAAGCTATGGGAAACAATTCCATATGAAAATGCCAAGTTCTAAATCAAAAGTAAAAGTCAACTCAAAAGTCAACCCCTGGGCCCACGTCTCGAAATATGATAAAAGTTACAAAATCCAAATACACATTCACCCACGAGTCCAACCATAGTAAAATTACTCAAATCCGACACCAAAATCCCGCTCAAATCCCCAAAATTCGGCCTAAGAAGTTTTCTCCATTTTTCCCAAATTTTTCAACCCAAATCACTAATTAAATGATGAAATCAATGATATATTTATGTAATTAAACCAAAACCAAGTTAGAATCACTTACCCCAATCACTCCCTTGAAAAACTCTCCAAGAATCGCCTCAATCCGAGCTCCCAAAATCAAATTGTGAAATAAACTCAAACCCTCGTTTTTGAGACTTTAGATTCTGCCAAGAAGTCCCTTCTTCGCGATCCTTCGCGATCACGAAGCACAAGTTAAACTGCCCAAAACTTTACTCTACGTGAATGCATAAATAGCCACGCGAACGCGATACACTGCTTCCTTAGACCTACGCGATCGCGAACTACCTCACGCGTTCGCGATGAACAATGCGCGTGAACCCCAACCTTGCCTTTCCTCTACGCGAACGCGACCTCAGCTACGCGTTCGCGATTCACAACCTCACTAACCTACGTGATTGCAGACCTTAACTCGCGAACATGTAGAACAAAAATCTCAGCTTCCCAAATAAGCCTACGCAATCACGGACCTTTCCATGCGATCGCGTCTAAGAAAACATGACCTGAACACCAGAAAACTACAACAGACTTCAGCCATTTCTCCAAGTCAAATTATACTTCGATAAGCATCCGAAATCCACCCGAGGGACCTCAACCAAATATACCAATAAGTCCTAAAATATTATACGAACCCGCTCGAAGCGTCAAATCCCATCAAACAACGCTAAAACCAAGAATCGTGCATCAATTCAAGCCTAATGAACTTATGCATTTCTAACTTCTACATTCGATGCCGAAACCTATCAAACTAACTCCGATTGACCTCAAATTTTGCACACAAGTCATAAATGATATAGGAGACCTATGTCAACTTTCGAAACCAAAATTCGAGCTCGGTAATCACAAAGTCAACTCTCGATCAAACTTCTCAATTTTCAAAACTTTTAATTTTTCAACTTTCGTCATTTCAAGACAAAATCAAATACGGACCTCCAAATCACTATCCGGACACACTCTTAAGTCCAAAATCACACAACGGAGCTATCAGAACTATCAAAACTCCATTTCGAAGTCGTTTACTCATAAGTCAATATCCGCTCAACCTTTTCAACTTAAGCTTCCAACCTTGAGACTAAGTGTCTCAACTCATTCCGAAACATCCCCGAATCCAAACCAACTACCCCGGCAAGTCACATAACAATAATTGAGCATAGAATAAGCAGCAAAATGGGGGAAAACAGGGTTACAACACTCAAAACGACCGGCCGGGTCATTACATCGACGAGGTTTAAATAAAATAGGGATTTTTTTCTTAAATTTAATGCGCTAAGAATTACCAAAATATGTTGCCTACACATTTTTGTGCTACCAATAAGTCTACTTATTGTTTTTCTAAAAAAAAATGATTTATTATAAATTTTAAATTAGAATTTCAAAAGTAATGTTATATTTTAAACAATAAAATATAAAAATTTGTGTTACAAAAAGTCCCGGGCTTTGGGTCTTATATCTTATTTTCTAAATACAATTTTTGTTAGTGTGAATTTGATGAATATATATATATATATATATATATATATATATATATAGGCTCATCTAGAAGACACCGCCTCATTCTTAATGCTCTCCTCCTATATCCCAATCGTCAGTCCAAAATTGACTACTCTGTCCAAAACAATGTCAACCTTTCCATTGGATGTTCTGACCGAAATCCTTTGTCGACTACCCGTTGATTGTGTGTTACGTTGTAGGTGCATATCAAGAACTTGGTGGGCTCTCATTGATAGTGAAGAGTTTGCAAAATTGCATGTCAAGTATTCAGTGAAAACCAATTCTAACCTTGGGGTGATGTTGAGAAAGGTCGACTATTTTGAATATGGAAAGCGTTGCTTTTACTCTCTAGACTTTGATTCTCTCAACTCCCGAGTTGTTACTCCCAAAGAATTGACCAACCCTTTGATGTCTTGTGAAATTAACACCAAGATACTTGGTTCTTGTAATGGATTATTGTTGATATCAAATACTGTGGATGAAATTGCCTTATGGAACCCTTCAACGAGAAAATACAAGAAGATACCAGTTGTGGGGATTACTGAAAACCATGTCCATGTGCATGTTAATTTTGGTTTTGGGTATGATGTTACTAATGATGACTATAAGGTTGTTAGAATTGTGCAGTTTCCCGGAACTGAAAAAGATTCTTTTCACTCTGATGTTAAGGTTTTCAGTTTGAGATCAAGTTGTTGGAGACAGGTTGAAGAAGAAGTTTCTTATTACCTCCGATATGAAGATCAACCAGGTACATATCTTAATGGTTCATTGCATTGGATTGCTAGTGCTAAGATGGAGAGACCTGGCAATAAATTAGAACCACTGATTGTTGCTTTTGACCTTGGAACTGAAAAGTGGGGACTTTTCCCGCGTCCCCTTATACTGATACGGGTTTCATTGTGAGGTTGGTCAAATTGCGAGGCTCTCTTTGCACATTGTATACGGGTAAAACCGAGCTCGATATTCGATCGGGCTTCCGAACTCCTTGGTTAGGCAAGGGTCCAAATATCTATAATCAGGTAAAGTCGAGCTCAAAGATCGATCTAACGACTGACACCACTAACCGAGATCGGCACAGGATGATTATGATCGAACCCAAAGAACTATCAAAATTAGCCATCAAAACCATCAGATTTGCCCTCGAGTTTGCCGAAGGCGTGACCGGTCCTGTTTCTAACGGTCTCGAAGAAAGATTTGCCAACTCGTCCGACAAGGGTCCGTGATTCTTGCCATTAACCGATCATTATGGCAAAAATCACGGAATTGGTCAAAAAGGAAACCAATGGTCTTCAAAATCAATGACTTATGTTTTTATAGTGCAATTAAATAATACCCTAAGGGGTAGGTCTCCCTCCATATATAAAGGGGACTTTACAATCCATGAAGCACATTGTAACATACGCTCATAAGCAATATATTTTCCAAGCTCCTACTCTTTTGATATTCTTTCTGTTAATAAAAGTATATTCAACTAAAGGGTGGATGGAATTCTTAAATTGAAATCATCCAATTCCTGTGGTTTGCAGTTTATTTTATCGCTTTGTATCAAGTTAATTCACATGTCCTTATAACCACTAACAAATTCAATTGTTATCCAATTTTGAGGGTAAACAGTTTGATGCCCACCGTGTGGCTAAGAATAATAGTGGTTATTTGATACAAATCTTCATAACACACACTACTTTACACTTGCTCTTTGAAGTATCTTTGATTTCAGGCAAAAAATGTCAAAATCTCAATTAGTACCCCTACATATCGACAACGAGTCCGGTCACCAGGGTGAAAATAACAACATAGTGCCCGGTAACGTGGGGCCACCCGCTGGTCCCGTTGGAATTTCGATCACAGATCCGATTGATGTTAATTCACATGTGGCGATCGACGCCAACTTGCCTACCGACCCCGAAAATAGCATCCGTGGTGGGGTCCGATCGGCGATTCGAAACACACAAAACAATGAAGAAGACGGGATCAACCTATAGATGATCTTCGAGATGATGCAAGCTCAACAGGTGGCAATAGTTCAGTTGCAAAGCCAAAGCCAGACACCGAGCAGGGTTGAATTCGATCCGCCCCATGAAGTCACCCGCAGAAATGAATCGGTCATAGTAAGGTCCAATGAACATGAATCGGGTACTAATCCCAAGATTATAAAGATGCCTGAGGAGCTGACAAAACGGGTAGAATCAGGGGAAAAGAAAATCGAGGTGAACAACAAAAAGGTGGAAACTTACAATTCTCGGGTGGATCAAATCCCAGGAGCACCTCCTGTATTGAATGGACTGGATTCCAGGAAGTTCGTGCAAAAACCTTTTCCTCCGAGCGCGGCTCCAAAGCCAATCACCAAAGAATTTCGTATGCCCGATATACCTAAGTATAACGGAACGACCGATCCAAGCGAGCATGTAACTTCTTATACGTGCTCTATCAAAGGGAACGACTTGGAAGACGACGAGATCGAGTCTGTTCTGCTAAAAACATTCGGGGAGACCCTGTCAAAAGGAGCTCCGACATGGTATCACACTTTACCTCCTAATTCTATTGATTCATTTGCTATGCTTGCAGACCCCTTCATGAAAGCACATGCTGGTGCTATCAAGGTCGAGACCAGGAAATCAGACCTTTTCATTATTAGACAGAAGGATAACGAGATGCTCAGAGAATTCGTGTCCCGTTTCCAAATGGAACGAATGGACCTGCCACCAGTCGCTGATGATTGGGTTGTTCAAGCTTTCACTCAGGGACTCAATATTCGGAGCTCGGTCGCTTTACACCAACGAAAGCAGAATCTGATAGAATACCCTGCAGTTACCTGGACAAATGTACATAACCGGTATCAATAAAAAATCAGAGTCAAAGATGACCAACTCGGGGGCCCCTCGGAATCTGTTTATCCTGTCAGAACCCTTGACAGAGTTAAGAGAGACATCAATCGTGAGCCAAGATCAAACATGGATCGATATCTACCATATAATGGAGATCGAAGGAGCAGTGGGTCAGGCAGAACCCCATAAGAAACGACAGGAGAAATGATCAAGGTTGAAGCAACCGGGTGCACATGATCAAAAATAGCTTCGACAGGTCCATCGGTCCTAAAGAAGCGCCGAGGTTATCAGAATACAACTTTAATGTCGATGCTGCCGCGATCGTTCCTGCTATCGGGTGCATCAGTGATACCAAATGGCCTCGACCTCTGCAATCCGATCCGGCTCAAAGGGACCCTAACTAAATGTGCAAATATCATGGCACTCACGGTCATAGAACGGAAGATTGTCGACAGCTGAGAGAAGAGGTGGACCGTTTGTTCAATAATGGGCACCTTCGAGAATTCTAGAGCGACCGAGCCAAGAACCACTTTACAAACAGGGATTCTAACAAATAGACAGGACAAGAAGATACAGAACCTCAACACATCATAAATATGATCATCGGTGGAGCCGATGTTGAAACGTACCAAAGTATCCATCACTAGGGAGAAACGAACTCGAGACTACATACCGAAAGGAATTTTATCTTTCAGTGATGAGGATGCGGAAGGGATCGAACAACCTCACAATGATGCACTAGTAATATCTGTACTCGTAAATAAAATGTGAATTAAACATGTGTTGATTGATCCAGGTAGATCGGCCAACATCATTCGGTCGAGGGTTATGGAACAACTCGTTCCACGAGACAAAGTCGTGCCGGCAGTCAAAATTCTAAACTGGTTCAACATGGCATGTGAAGCCATTAAGGGGGAGATAGCGTTACCGGTCAATATCACCAGAACCATACAAGAGGCCAAGTTTTATGTGATCGAAGGAGACATGAGGTGCAATGCCCTTTTCGAAAGGCCGTGGATCCACAACATGAGGGCAATACCCTCAACTCTTCACCAAGTGTTAAAATTCACAACTCCGGAAGGTATTAAGACAGTCTACGGGGAACAATCAACCGCAAAAGAGATGTTTGCAGCCAAAGAAGTGATTCCAATATCAGTACTTACAACATCGAAGGAACCAATTCTGGGCACAAACCAAGAGGCCAAACAGCAGTCACCGACACCGGCCACGACACATTCGGATAAGCAGGGGACTTATGAAGACGATGATTATGGGGTCCCCCGATCTTTTATAATCCCCGATGACTCCGACACAACCAAATCAATGATCGAAGAGCTGGCACAGGTTATATTGGTCAAGCATCTACCCGTTCAAAAGGTATACCTAGGCACGGGGTTAACTCTCGAGCTCAGGAAAAAACTTCTTCAATTCCTTGTAACTAATATAAATTATTTCGCTTGGTCCCATCTTGATATGACAAGGATCCCACCGGAGATAGCCACTCACAAAGTAAGCCTGGACCCGAAAATCAATCTGGTCAAGCAAAAAATGAGGCCTTAGTCCGAGGTCAAACATGCTATCATCAAGGACGAGGTATCTAAACTCCTTAAAATAGGGTCCATTCGGGAGGTTAAGTACCCGGATTGGTTAGCAAACGTAGTGGTAGTCCTTAAAAAAGGTAATAAAGTAAGAATGTGTGTAGATTACAAAGATTTGAATAAAGCATGCCCCAAAGACTCTTTTCCTTTGCCCAACATCGACCGTATGATCGATACCACGGCCAGCCACGTGATCCTCAGTTTTCTCGATGCCTATTCCGGGTACAAACAAATATGGATGGACCCAAGTGATCAGGAAAAAACCTCCTTCATCACTAAATATGGCACATACTGTTATAATGTAATGCCATTTGGATTAAAAAATGCTGGTGCCACATACCAACGCTTAGTAAATCGGATGTTCGAAGAACAAATAGGAAAATTGATGGAAGTTTACATTGACGATATATTGGTTAAGTCCATGCGAGCAGAGGACCATTTAAAACATTTGCAGAAAACCTTCAGCATATTGACAAAATACAATATGAAGCTGAACCCGGAAAAATATGCGTTCGGAGTTGGATCGGGTAAATTCCTCGGGTTCATGGTATCCAACCGAGGAATCGAGATCAACCCCGACAATATCAAAGCCATAGAAAATATCACGGTCGTTGACAACGTAAAGTCTGTGCAAAGGCTAACCGGGCCCATAGTCGCTCTGGGGCGATCTATCTCGATGTCGTCCAACAAGAGCCACAGATTATTTGCACTATTGAAAAAGAAGAATAACTTCTCATGGACTCCTGAATGTCAACGAGCTCTGGAGGAGCTCAAAAGATACTTATCGAGCCCACCGCTACTTCACACAGCAAAGACAGATGGACAACTATACTTGTACTTGGCGGTCTCGGAGATAGCGGTAAGTGGAGTCCTAGTTCGGGAAGAACAAGGTACATAATTTTCGATCTATTATGTTAGTAGGACCATAGGCGAGGCAGAAACTAGGTACCCTCACCTAGAAAAACTGGTGCTCGCCTTGCTAAGCGCCTCCAAGAAACTAAAACCATACTTCCAATGTCACCTCATATGTGTCGTAACAACTTACCCATTAAGGAACATTATGCATAAGCCCGAACTCTCAGGTCGATTGGCCAAATGGGTCGTGGAATTAAGTGGTTACGATATTGAGTACCGGCCCCGGACCGCCATTAAGTCCCAAATTTTGGCAGATTTCGTGGCCAACTTTACGCCGACCTTAATACCCGAGGTCGAAAGAGAGTTATTGATTAACTCGGGGACTTCTTCGGGAATTTGGACCCTCTTCACAGATGGCGCCTCAAACGCAAAAGGGTACGAACTTGGCATCGTACTAAAGCCACCGATATGTAATATAATTAGGCAATCTATTAGGACTGTGAAATTGACTAACAACGAGGCCAAATATGAGGCCATGATTGCAGGCCTTGAATTAGCCAAAATCTTGGGGGCAGGGGTGATCGAAACCAAGTGCGACTCACTCCTTGTGGTAAACCAGGTTAATGGGATATTCGATGTCAGAGAAGAACGAATGCAGAGATACTTGGACAAGTTACAGGTGACATTACATCGATTCAAAAAATGGACTTTGCAACATGTACCTCGGGATCAAAACAGCGAAGCTGATGCCCTCGCTAACTTGGGATCGTCGGTCGAAGACAATGAGATCAACTCGGGAGAAATTGTGCAGCTTATGAGATCAATGGTGGAACAAGGCTACACCGAGATCAATTCAATGAGCCTAACTTGGGACTAGAGGAATAAGTACGTGGAATATCTCAGGACCGGAAAACTGCCCTCGGACCCAAAAGAATAGAGGACCATATGTCAAAGGCAGCCCGATTTAGTTTATCCCAAGGATGGAACCTTAGTCAGAAAAACGTTCGATGGCCCGATGATGATATGTTTGGGACCGAGGGATCGGGGGATACCGAATATGTTTTGAGGGAAATCCACAAAGGTACCTATGGAAATCACTCGGGCACCGAATCATTGGTTTGAAAAATAATCAGAGCCGGTTACTACTGGATCGACATGGAAAAGGATGCAAATGAGTTCGTTCAAAAATGCGATGGATTCCAAAGGCATGCTCCGATGATTCATCGAGCAGGAGAGCCGCTACATTCGGTCTTGTCACCATGACCGTTCATGAAATGGGGGATCGACATCGTCCCCTTCCACGGGCGCCCGGTAAGGCCCAATTTATTTTATTTATGACTAAATATTTTTCTAAATGGGTGGAAGCTCAGGCATATGAAAAGGTCAGAGAAAAAGAAGTCATCGATTTTATCTGGGATCACATTATATGTCGATTTGGAATACCGGCCAAGATTGTATGCGACAATGGAAAACAGATTATTCGCAGCAAAGTAAGCAAGTTTCTTAAAGACCATAAGATCAAAAGGATCTTATCCACTCCTTACCACTCCAGTGGGAACGGACAAGCAGAATCCACCAACAAAACCATAATCCAAAACCTCAGAAAGAGGTTGATCGACGCCAAAGGAAAATTGAAAGAAATGCTACCTGAGGTCTTATGGGCGTACCGTACAACCTCGAAGTCCAGTACCGGATCCACACCGT